TTAATGCATCGTCGGCCTCACGGGACTGCTTCGTACAGGCTACCGATTGCTTCTTCGTCTTATGCGAACTGCTCGCTTCTGCGGCTACACGGCGTCTTCTTGCGCCCCCTGCCGGTCGAACCGATTCGTCGAGCGTCTCGCCAGGCATCGACCTCAACCACGGCCCGACATCGCGGGTACCTCCCGAGGAGCTCGGCCTCCTGAGGGATCTGGCCCTTCTTCCACATAAACTCCAAACAGCGTTTCTGCGGCACGATCCCTCGCGACCTCTCGCACGAGGATGAGTGCTGCTGCTTCGAGCTCGACCTGAGCAACAATTCGGTTCGCCGGTAAGTTCCTAGGGTCGTCCTCCGGCTTCCCCTCCCTTGAAGTTTATCGACATCAGGGCTACAAACGAGTTCGAGGGCCAAGGTGCCCGCGAGCTCTTCGACAAGGACCTCGCACGCCGATCTTCATAAACCACAACAGGTTCGCCTTCGGCAAATCCCCAACAACATGCGGGAACTCCCCGGGGTGTCGGTCGCCGTTCCTGCGCGGGCAACGGTTTCAGGGGCTGCGTGCCGGCGGAGCCTGGGCAACATGACGGGGTAACTGAAACGAGGTCATCTGATGGACAACGGGATTAGATCTTGCCTGGCCGAGCTCCAATCGGCTGCCTGAGCCAGCTGACGGTGTTCGACGTCAGCTACAACGAGATACGTGGGACCGCTGCCGGGGTCGGTGGCGGGATGGTGAGCTTGCAGCAGCTGTACGCTGCGCACAACATGCTGTCGGCGGGTCGATCCGGCGGGCGGTTTGCAGCCTGCGAATTGGCTGGCTCAATTTCACCTACTGCGTACAATTTCTTCACGGGCGGCCGCCGTCGTGTTTGGCGCTGCGTACGTATCGACGACCGGAGGAACTGCCTGCCGACCGGCCCGGCTGCAGAGGTCGGCGAGGCATGCCGGTTCGTTTCTCTCGCGCCCCAGTTGACTGCGGGTCGCTTTGGCTGCGCTCCGTTTGTTCTCCCACGCCCTCGCCGGCACCCCCTTCCCTGCTGAACCCGTCGCCGCCTGTGCGCGCCTACCGCCTCCAGCGACGCCGTCCCGCCTCCAGCCGGTTCTCTCACCCCCGCCTCCGCCGGCGTGCTTCTCCACCCCCACTCCGTCTCCTCCACCACCGGTCCCCACCTCCGCCGGTGTTCTCCCTCCACCGCCGTCGCCACTCCGCCCGTTCTCCGCCCCCGCCTTCTCGCCCCCCGGCCTGCTATCTCGCCGCCTCCTCCATTCTCGCCACCCACCGTCTCCGCCCCCGCCTAGTATTCTCGCCGCTCGCCTCCATCTCCACCACCTCGTCTCCGCCACCACCGTTCTTCCGCCGCCACCAGCATCCTCACCTCACACCACCACCGCCACCACCACCGCTCTCCGCTCACCACCGTCACCTCCTCCGCGGTATTCTCACCTCCCCCGGCCATCACACCACCCCCATCACACAACCTCCACCGGTAAAATGTCACCACCGGCCTCCCTTCTCACCTCCACCGGCCACCCAATCTACTGCGTACCGACCACCACCCCCCACAACCACCAAACTCACCACCGCACCCGTCCATTCCCTCCCCCACTGTCATTTCTCGCCGCCTCCCCCTCATTACCACATCCTCACCGCCGCCACTCATCCTCACCCCCACCTCCTCATCATTCACCCCCGCCTCTCCAAATTATCCACCCCCTTTCACAAACTCTCCCCGCCACCAATTTATTACTAACCCATCGCCCCTCCACCCCGACTCACTCGCCTGCCTCACCAATGCACTCACCACCTTCCCCCCAGTTCCCCGCCCCTCCAACCATCCTTGTATCGAGGCCACCACCCTCCCCCCCTCCTCCATGCTATCGAATTGCCCCCTCCATCGGCACCTGTTTACCAATTTCGCCCCCTCCTCTGTCGCCATCACCATCACCACCATACGTTCACACGTCACCTCCACCACCTTCTCCATCACCACCTCCGCCCGTCTATGAAGGACCATTACCCCCAATCATTGGTGTTCATTATGCGTCGCCTCCGCCGCCTAGTATCCCTTACTATTGATTCTTTTGAGAATTCATCCTCCGTTATGAAAAGCTGCCATTAATGATTTCATTCATTTGGGATTCTTTCTGCAATTGGGGTGTATGTTGAAGATACTTAGGAGATTGGAGAGAGGCTTGGGAGGTGGAAGGAGAAACTCTCCCCCATATTCGTTTCGGATTGTGAAGACATTGGAGATTGATCTATGTTGTGAATAAGCGCTATGGCGATGGCCCGAGAGATAAAGTAGAGACTGCAAGGGAAAATGATCTTTGTATAGAGAGCATGAGATTTGAATTTAGAACAACTGTGGTATTATCTCCTCCTACTATACTTTGTATTTATTTTATTTTACTTTGGATTTTGATTTCATAGTATGCTTACTTATGGATTCTTAGATATTCATGTGTGGATTGCCTCGTTCTGTAAATTCTTTTGTTCGTATGGCTAATGAGTTTGTTTCTGCCCGTATACATACCTTATTTTTCTGTTCTTGAGTAAAATTATTATTCTCCTTCTGTTTGTTATTCGCATCGATGCTCTTCTGTTTGTTATTCGCATCGATGCTCAGTCTGTTTGGCTCAAAAGCTGGAATTTCAACAAATCTTAATTTTTATTATAGTTTTTTGGTTTTTGTCTGGTTGAAATGGAAATTTGAATGTAAGGGCTATTTTTTTCTTCGGATTCTATTGGAGGATAAAGGGGTTTTATGCAGAATTTTTTTTTTTTTACCGATGCAACAATGATTTTCGTTCATTTTCGTCCTCCAAACATTTCGTAGAAACAAAAACACAAGATTCTCTGTTTAAGGTTTTGATCCTGACAGAATTATTGATGCGAAACCTATTTTTTTCCCCCCCATGGCTACCTGAAAATTCCATGGAAACAGCGAAATTCCTTGGCTAGCTATTTGTTCGCAGCCTACGCCTTAGCTGTGAATACTGCTCTGGCTCCTTTCGAACGTGAGTTGTAATACACTGGTATATATATTCGTACGTAAGTGGCCTCTCAATTTTTCTTGTACATGTCTGTATCATGTAAGCTGTATTGTTCGTCAACTTGTTCACGTCGATATCAACTTTTAGAGCACACATGTTTGGGATCAATTCATTTTATCTCATTTGTCTCTATTTTTCCTTCCACACTGCTGTGGATCATTTATTCCTTTTTTTTTGTGTGTTTAATATTTAGCTTTACTTTACTGATTTTGACATGAGATTTGAACTGGTTAATAATGCGTTTTCTTGTTTGGGGGTGAATTAGGATGTTTTGATGGGGAAAGGTTAAAAGCGAAAAGTCTCTTTGGCTGCTAAGTATCACAAGACCCCACCTTGACCCTAGGGATTATCACGAATTCCCCTTTTAACTTTCAGATTTTATCAGAAAACCCCCCTTAACTTTCAGATTTAGGGCGGTTTTCTGATAAAATCTGAAAGTTAAAGGGGGCTTTCGTGATAATCCCTATACTTAAGTGGGGTTTTTTTTTTGATATTTTGAAAGTTAAAGAGGGGTTTTCTGTTAAGCGTCCAAAGTTGAGGGTTTTTTCCCCTTGATATTTAGCCTTTCTCTTTCGTTTGCTAGATTTATCACCAAAGAGGACGTTTTATGGGCTCTTTTGTTTTAGCTAGATGAATTGATAGTGATTGCATTGAGAGCTAAGTTTTATTACCTTTTACTTGTGTCTTAATCTCGCAATTAGTCCTTCCACAATCTTGTATCCTTTTTATTATGATTGTGATCTATTATTGTCTCCTGTGATAAAAAAAAAAACAACTATTATGGACATTGTGCCTTTAAAGGTTAAACTAGCTTCTACCCAAATTATTTGTTTTTATCGATTAAAACAACTATCCAATTAAGAATAAACCGAGAGAGAATTGCAAAGTTTGGTTTGGGTTTTTATGTTCATATAAACTGAATTTCCTCTCTGAAGGCATTAATAAATTTGTTGGATGCCCTGTAGTGTAAGGAATTGAACTTTAAGCGGTGTAGGTACACAAATCTTTTTGTACCATTTTGTAATTACTACCAAATTTATCGTCACACACAAATATGATTAATATTGTAGGGTAGTACTAATCTTAGGGCTAAATTCTTGCATCCAATAATAGCCTTATTCCTCCTTCCCATGTGATGAAGGTGGCGCCAAGCATCCTTGAGTGGCGGCCACCTATACCAGCAATAGCTTTGGGTCCAAGTCCAACCATAAATATTTTAGCCTAATCATGCAAATTAGGTGCTTCTTTAATTAGCGTGCCAAATAGTTGGCTGCTATTCTTAACAAACTATTCTTTTTGAGAAACTTTACAAACTCCATGTATTGCTCTATTTTACTATTAGTGTGAACACCTTGCGCTATATTTTTTCCCCACTAAAGTAATTCTGGTATTAACTGTCACAGTATTTTTTTGAATTGATACAGTATCCCGTTTATGCTATAGTATTCCTGTGTGCTACAGTATATTTTTCAAGAAACCCGTTATCCGTTTTTACGTTTGCAACAACAATAATGCTACAGTAAATGTTACCGTAGTATTTACTGTAAAATAAATATTGAATCTTAGGTTCTCCCGTTTGTATAGAGTAGTAGATAATGTACCAATTTCAGCGCTAGTGACGAGAAAGAAGTGAAAATAAAGAAGAATCATCAAAGCTCTTGGGCAACAAGGACATTGTTTTGTTTTCACATTTTTCTGTATGCGTGCTTCTACTTCAAAAACGAAATGTAAGTGTGGGACTAATTTGATTTTTTCCGGCAGAAGGTATCAACATTCTTTTGCCCTCTTGTGAACAAGTGGAAATTTTCTGAATGCCTCCATAGAAGCAAGGTGTTCACCTATGAGCCCATAGTTTCATGCAAGCGCCTAGAAGTAGATAGGGACACATTAGGTTCTCATCGTCACAAAGGGGAAAAAGATGTGGAATCAATCGACCCCTGATTGATAAAAAGTTCAGTTGGTAGTTGGATGTTGCCCTGCTTTTTTATTTTCCTTGTTTCTTGGCCTTTTGTCTGAAAGGGACCGAGAGAAGAAGGTCCCTCGTGGTTTGAATCTCACGAGCTCCCACTTCTTTTCACTTGTTTTGTAAGGGTTCCCTCTTCCTCTTTTAAATTTTACGACTTTATTGCTGCCAACCCATCTTTTGAGGGTTTTTTTAGATTTTAGTCCCTTACATCTTCAGTAATTGCATATTAGTCCCTCAAATATTGGAAATTATGTTTTAGCCCCTTGTATCTTCAATAATTGTATATTCGTCCCCAAATCTGAAAAATTGCATATTGGTCCCACAAATCTTATAGGGTCTTGCAAAATGGTTCCTCAATTAGTATCTTAGTTAAAAAAATCTAATCATGATTGAGTTAACTCTTAGCCCAAAATCTACAATCACCAAACTACCTCTCATTCTTATGTTTCAGCACCTTGTGAAGTTCAACTTTGGGTTAGAATTTTTTTGCTAATCATTGGAGAAGAACTCAAGTGGACTTGATTTATTTTAAGCGCGTATTTTGGTTTAAACCTATTAAGAAATTAGTTGAGGAACATTATAGAGGGTTAAAATAGTTGCTTTGACTCCAAACGTTAGATTTAGCTGAATACTCCCCCCAAATCTAACATGATCTAACTTGAAGGGCCATTTTTGCAAAACCCTATAAGATTTGGGGGACTAATATGCAATTTTCAAGATTTGAGGGACTAATATACGATTATTAAAGATTTTATTGAAGATTTAAGGGACTAACATCTGAAAAAACCTACATTTTTATCTACTTGCTATATATTAAGTTTTTAAATAAATATTATAGTGGCATCTGCTCTAACCTTGAGTTGCTTTGCGTCATTGGCATATACCGAGGTCACACGGGTGAAGTTAGTTTTGTTCTCTAGTAAATAAAATTAGAAAAAAAGAGTCGATGTATTCCTCTATAAATTTATAGATGACGTATTGCTGATACGATACGCATTCAGATTATCCGTTATAGTCTATGTATGTTGATGATGGACTACATTGTGACACACAAGTCAAGTTTGAGGTAGGCCATACCAACCCCTATTTACTCTTTGTAAGAGCAAAATAGGGGAGAGTAAGGTAAAACAAAAGGTCAATATATATGACTATTATATGTAATGACACAATTAGACATATGTGACAATCTCAAGGGTGGTCTTTATGTAACGTGAGGTGTTGTCAATGTTGTGCGCAGCGGAACTCGAAACACACGAAAGAGCACGAACAAGAATGTGATAGATTACAACCAATAAGTAAAATACAATCACCACAACAAGAAAAACGAATTTTACATGGTTCGGCAGGTTGCCTAAGTCCACGGGGCAAGGAGGGTGGAGTTTTTACGATTAGAGATAAAAATAATACAAATAGGATTTACAATCTCACCAAAAACCCTCAAACAAAGCTCTCAAAATCTCTCACAATTTCTCCCTCAAAGGATACACAAAACTCTCTCAAAAGCTTTTCAAAATCTTGTCCCAGTTAGCACTAATAATCATGTTTAGGGTTATATATCAACACAAAAAAACGAAATGGGTCAGAAAACAAAGCCCAGGCTCAGACCCAAGTCGCGGTCGACCGCACTTGACGTCACGGTCGACTGGACAGAATGACAGAAACTCAAATAATCGATTACAGGGTCCGCGGTCGACCGCACTTGACGTCGCGGTCGACCGGCTAGAGATCCGAAAGGATCACCCTGTAGTGTGCACGTTTCCGGTCGACCGCCACTTGTCTCGCGGTCGACCGAACAACACCCAAACTGTTTCCTACTTTATTTTTCCTTGAACTTCGTCGCCGTTTTTGCCGTTTCTACAGTCAAGAACCTACACACTTACGGTGAGTGCTCTCATTTTCTTCTTTTGTTTGAGGCAGGATAACCCACCATATGCTCACAGTGAGAGTTCTTAAAAAATTGCACCCATGGTAGGGAAAAAGTCCTAATTCTAAGTAATAATGAGTCCCGATTCTACGTTACTAACCCAAGTCATCCCATCCTTAAGAATAACAAATCTTAATAATATCTCAACCTTTGAAATGGTAAATTCAGATTGGGTCAGCTTTTGATCGCATTGAACTGAAAAGGATATATGATTGGGTTCAATTGAAAAGGCGATCTATGCTTACATGGACGCTGTAAATATGAAGTAGAAAGAGCAAGATTTCTATAAGACAATGCGACTTGAATTAAGATAAATTATTTAAACTTACAATTTAAGAATACATTCTTATTCATTATATATAGTAACAAAGAGTATCTAGATATTCTAGTTGTAAAATTAATTAAGCAAGTTCAAATTGGGTTAGTTTTTTTGTAATTAATTAATTAATTTATTACTTTCTTCAATCCAAATAAAAACGAAATTCCAAAAGTCTTTAATTAACCAAATCATACTCAACGAACGGATTGGTTCAATAGAAGAGTCCGAGACTAAATAGTAGTTTTGTTTCGCCAAAAACAATAAGA